TACTGCAAAATCGTACGCCGAATTTGTCGTAGAGTTTTTCTTTTGCTTCCCCAGGTTCAACGCCGTTCCTGTCCAGGCCGGGCGTGGCCGCCTTCGTGGACAGGTGCGAGAAGCGCGGCATCAAGCGGATCGTGGTGCCCGACGAGAAGCGGTTGGCCCGCCGCTTGATGGTGCAGGAAGAGGCGATCGCGGAGTGCGAAAAGCGAGGTTTGGAGTTGGTGCACGCCTCGATCCCGGGGCTGTTCACCAACAAGGACCCATGCACAGTTTTCCAGAGACACATGGCCGGGGCCATTTCTCAGATGGAGTGCCAGGTGGCTGTGGGCAACATGAAACACGGCGCGACCGAGCACGCAAAACAAGCACGGAGGTCTCGCTGGCGAACGAGCGGAAGTGCGAGGGCAGGAAGAACTTCCTGCAGCTGCACCCGCGGTTTGTCCAGATATCCAGATGCCTGCGGCGCGCACCGCCAATGCCAAAGCAGCTGCCCCCCCCCCCGGTCGTCCATAATCATTATAGTCACCACGGTTTTTCTTTGACGCAGTGGCAGGGCCACGCGCGCCTAGACGCACGCCTGTTGCAGTTGCTCCTGCTCATGGTCCTCCTCCTTTGACGGGCCACGAGTCTCCCCAAATCGTCCCCTTGTTGCATATGCAGTTACCGCAGACATGTGTAATCGATCCCGCATCGTACCATATCTTCTCACTCCACATCCTGCGGCGCAAGTTTGAGCAAAGTTTCTCGTCATTCGGCCGCCCAGGGCGGCGACCTCAGAGCGGGGAGGGAAAATAACGAATTACCCAACACACACAACGATGGACTGCACAGGCGCGCGCTGCAGTAGTTTCGCGGAGCTGCTAGGCACAAACTTGAAAAAATACAACAACTTAAACAAGTGCCCTGTTGCACGCGCCCCTGCTTCTGCCGATAAGGAGGGTAGGGGGGGCGCGATAGCTTGCTCGGCGCGGCGCCGAGTTGTCAAACCCTTCACACGCCGCGGACTCGGCGCGGGCCAGCCTGCAAACGCAGCACGTTTCACATGTGACGGACTCGGCGCGAACCTGGGGATGCCTTCGTGGGCGGCGGCCCCAGCAGCGTGCAGTAGCAACGGTAATTGGTGGGGCAAAACATGTTGGCTCTTTCGGTTCGAGACGCAACCTCTAGTTCCAACTAGCCCAACAAAAGACACCCGCGCGCTTAAAGGCCGAGCTCGGGCTGCATGTGAAGAGGCACGGAGAAGGCTCAAACGCCCTTGGCTCGTACCGCCTACTGCAGGGCAGAGTGGGAAGGAGGATCAAGCGCCACTTGCCCTGGCACCCCTGAGCGAAGGCCGCGTTGCGCGTAATCATACCTTCCAATGGCGGGCGCGCCAAGCTGCTAGTTTGACACCGAAACTATTTGAAACGCGCGCGCGGCCATTTTCAAAACCACCATGAAGCTTTTTCAACTTCAGCACCGCGCGGCCCGCAAGCGGCCTAGAACCATGAGAAAACCATTTTCATCATTCTTAATCTGATCCCCGACATGCCCGTGACCCTATCCAGCTCAAAAGCTCCCAAAATTCTCGAAGAAGCACCCTGGAAGCTTCAAAACTGTTCCCGCGAGGCCCCCGCGGAAACCTCAAGACACCCGAACCAGCATCCAACAAGCCTTTGACCCACCTCCCAAACATGGTGGCGGGATGGGCCGAAGGCCACTGGATCCGCCCCGCCGCCCCTTGTTCATTTATCACAGCGGTGCCTGCATAAACCGGATGATAATTCATGATTTTGGCATCTTCGGGCCTGCCCGGAGTACCTCTTGAAGGCTTCTTGGGCCGTCTTGGAGGCCTCTTGGAAGCCTTTTGGGCCGTCTTCGGACATCTTGAGGCCCTCTTGGGCCGACCTGGTGGTTGTTTAGCTGACTTGGAGGAATCCTGCACCCTCCCGGGCCGTCTGGAAAGCCATCTTGGACCATCTACGGCCCGAAAACCGACCCGTATGTTGAGGGCGGTTTTTCGAGAAGCCACCGCGCTCGGCGAAGCCCCAAGGGGATTTTCCTTTGGAGAAGAACCAAAACAACGGCTTCAGACGTATAGCACGCCAGGATGTTGGCATTTACTTCTATCGGCTTTCCGACGGCCCAAAACGGCCCAACCGTCCCCCCAAATCGTCTCAAAATCGGCCAAGAGGCCTCCAAGATAGCCCCAGAACGGCCCAAGAGGCCCAAGACGGCCCCTTGAGAGCTCCGAGACGGCCCAAGAGGTTTCCAAGACGCCCGAATTGGGCCTCCGAGACGGCCCTGATGCATCCAAAGGGGGCCCAAGTCGGTGCAGAGATGGCCCCAAGACGGCTCCCGACGGCGTCAGACGGGCAACGAACGCGGTAAGACGGCCACAGACGCCCCCACGAAAACCGCAAAGGCCCCCGGGAGGCCCCCAAAAGGCCCCCACGAGGTGTCCAAGAGGCCCCCAAGAAGCTCCCAGGAGGCCCCACGAGTGCCCCAAGAGGCTCCCAAGATGCCGCCTCCTCCTCCTCCTCCTCCTCCTCCTCCTCCTCCTCCTCCTCCTCCTCATCATCATCATCATCATCATCATCCTCTTTCGGCATCCCCTCGAAAGCGTTTTTCCATATTTTCGCGTGGCAGAGTGCTCAGGTAGGACAACAGCGGGTGGACCACAGCTTTCGATCCCGAAAGCTCGATAGATCCCGCGGCCCACCACAGATTTGCTCACGAATTGACCCTTTCTCTGGGATGCAAAAAACAGTCGGACAAGGTTCTGTGGTCACGTGGCTTCCAGGAGCTCCGCCATGGAGGGCGCTTCATCAACATCATCATCATCACCATCACCATCACCATCACCATCACCATCACCACCACCATCACCATCATCATCATCATCATCATCATCATCATCATCATCATCATCATCATCATCATCATCATCATCATCATCATCATCATCATCATCATCACCATCATCATCGTCATTAGCAGCGTCACCATCATCATCATCATCACCATCATCGTCATCATCATATTCCTTCCTCCCCTGATCCTCCCTTTCATCCTCCCCCCAGTGTTCCCCCAACAATTTCCACAACGGCTGGGGGGACGCGTAATCCGATAGCGTTCCCCCCAGAATTTCCACAGCGGCTGGGGGAGACACATTATCCGATAGCTTGGCCAAGCTAGGGTCCAACGTTTGACCACAGAGGCGTTCCCCAACAAGCAGGGGGGCGGCGGTGGTTGGCTGTGTGCGCATTCGATGATGATGTTGATGATGATATGATGTGATCGTGTGGCGGTGACGATTGGGAAAGGTGAAGCCGCTCCCGCTTCGGACATTCAAGGGCAGCGTGTCCATGTGATCGCTGGCAAAGAATACGTAGCACCCCGCAATTGCGGATAAGAGTGAGGGGGCGGGCGCGGGCGACGCGGGCGTCGTCGAGCCGGCGGACCTCGTGGCCCCCACCTTCCCTTCGATGACGCTCTCCTCCTCCTCCTCCTCCTCCTCCTCCTCCTCCTCCTCCTTCTCTTCCTCGTCCTCGTCCTCATCGTCATCGTCATCCTCCTCCTCCACCTCGTCCTCCTCCTCCTCCTCTTGTTCCTCGTCCTCCCTCTCCCCCCCTCGTCCTTCCATCATCGTCCTCCCATTGTCGTCCATCATCATCATCCTCCCCCTCCTCCCCCTCCTCCCCCTCCTCGTGCTCCTCCTCCCCTTCCTCCCCCTCCTCCCCCTCCTCGTCCACCTGCTCCTCTTTCTCCACATTCTCCTTACATCCTCTCTTCTTCCGCGTCCTCCTCGTCCCCTGTTTACTCCTCCTGCCTCCCCCTCCTTTCCCAAGATAACGGCAACGCAATCCTTTTTTCCACTTTATGCTCCCCGACTTCTCTGATCAAGGCAACTCGCCAGGGCAAAATTGCTGGACGGGCTGGTGTGGATGCGCGGGGCTTGAAGAGGTCGTTGCGGGCTCAGACGGCATGCGAAAATCCGCCGCCGCGTTTGTGCGGCATTGGTTTGTTCAGCGAACGTGGTTTAGGTCGCGGGTGGGTCGCGGGCTCTCCACCTCCACCTGGAAGGAATGCAAAAACAGCCCGCCGCAGGCGCCGAAACAATTGGTTCGCATGCCCGCCGCAGGCGCCGAAAAAATTGGTTTGTACCCTGAACGTGGTCGCGGGTGGGCCGCGGGCTCTCCACCTGAAGCGGATGCAAAAGATGCCCGCCGCAGGCGCCGAAACATGTGGTTTGTATCCTGAACGTGGTTTGGGTCGCGGGTTGGTCGCGAGTTGGTCGCGGGGTGGGTCGCGGGCTCTCCACCCGAAGGAATGCCAAAAAAAAACCCGCCGCAGGCGCCGAAAATTGTGGTTTGTACCTTGAACGTGGTTCGGGTCGAAAGTGGGTCGCGGGTGGGTCGCGGGGTGGGTCGGGGTGGGTCGCGGGGGGTCGCGGGTGGGTCGCGGGGTGGGCCGCGGGCGGGTCGCGGGGTGGGTCGCGGGTGGGTCGCGGGTGGGTCGCGGATGGGTCGGGGGTGGGTCGTGGGGTGGGTCGCGGGGTGGGTCCCGGGTGGGTCGCGGGTGGGTCGCGGGTGGGTCGCGGGGTGGGTCGCGGGGTGGGTCGCGGGGTGGGTCGCGGGGTGGGTTGCGGGTGGGTCGCGGGTGGGTCGCGGGGTGGGTCGCGGGGTGGGTCGCGGGGTGGGTCGCGGTGGGTCGCGGGGCGGGTTACGGGTGGGACGACGACAACAAACAACAACAACAAACAACAACAAACAACAACAAACAACAACAAACAACAACAACGATAATCCGCACCGCGGAATCCCACTTCAGCCACGCACCCAGGGACAGTGAATGCCGTTCGGCCCCTTCACTCTGATAAGAGACCATAACATCGAATGGATGGGCGCCCTGTGTTTTCTCCAAGGTCCGCGTGGAATGAATCAACAACCAAGGCCGCAACCATGTGTGCAGCGAGCGGCACCGAAGCGGAAACGCCACCATGTTCGCGCGCCGTGCCGACATCAGGCAGCGTTCTTCAAGATGTCCCCCAGAAGGGAGGCTTTGCTCATGAAGTTTGCCAAGTCGAAGTCCGACGACGGCACCCGAGCATCATTTGCATCCTTCATCTTCTTTGTGCCTTTTGGCGTGAGGCCCAAGCGTGATTGGAGCTCCTGGTAAACAGCGTCTCTGTGCTCGGCAGGCACCCGGTGCATCTGCGCCGCGGACCCTCCGTGTTGGAACGCCCCGAAGCCAGCGGCGTCGGCGAACCGAATCATCAGGCGCATGGAACTCTCGATGGCCTCTGGGGTGGCCCCAGTTAACGAGGACTTGTTCTTGGCAGACGCGTGCGGGTTCTGAGCGCTGCTCAGGGTAGACACCAGGATCCTCTTCTTGAGCCCAGGCTCCTCCTCGAAACTGTCCTCCGCCAGCGGGGCCTCAGTGCGCATCCTTTTGCGAGAGCCTCCAGCTCCTGCTGCTGCCTCGTCTGCGGCCGGGAGTGCGGCTTGCGTGAGCCCCGACGCTGTCGCGGCCGAGAGCGCCCAGCTGGCTCGGCGGGCCCACGGGCGGGGGGGCGCCCACCTGCGACGCCGGCACGCTCTGGCCGCGCACCTCGGCGACGAGAGGGGCCTCCAGAGCGCGGAGCTGGTCAAGATCCACCGGCTTGCCGTCGAGCATGTCCTTCAAGCCTTGGCAGATCTGATCGGCCACGCCTTGGCCCCCCTCCTCGCGCGCGCCCGCAGCGTCCTCGGGCGCCAACTCGCGCAGGTCGCGGAGGACGAGGCTGGGGTCCCACTTCATCACGCGGTTGGCGGCTCTCACGAAGCTCTCGCTGTCGGACGCGTACGCAGCCACAGCGACGCGACCGTCTGCGACGAGGAGGAAGCCCATGTGCGTCAGAATGACGCAATCCAGCTGCAAAGCCCTGATGTCGGCGTCGGTGGTGAAGGGGTTCTGCGCGAAAGCTTTAACGTTCCGGTTGTTGGCGATGCGCTGCAAGGTCAGCATGGGGTTCACCTTAGACACGATATCACGCCCTACGAGCCTTTCCGCAGACGCGATGGTGGGGGGCGGCATGGATGCGAAACGCGTGCGGGCCTCCATGAAGTCTTTGGTTACCTCCTTGGCGCGCACCGTCATCTGGAAGTTCTTGGCAAACCAGTCCCCCAACGCCACGGCGGCGTCAACTGATGGCCGCGTCACCTGGGGGGGAATGTGGGACGGGTCCAAGTCGTCCAAGAGGGCATCGATGTTCGCGTGGGCATGCTTTCCCAAACATTCCACAATCTCCTCCCCAGTCATCTCCTGTACCTGGTTATCACTCTTGCCGGCCTTCCTCAGGAGGAAGCCCACCACTTTCTCCCCCGCGTCGATCGGCGGGATGAACTGGAGCGTCCGCGTCATGTCCTTCCGGACGGCGGAATATCCGCTGTCCTCGTTTTCCCCATTGGACCCCCGGGCCTCGCCGCGGACGAAATCGGCAGACTTCTTGAACTCGGTGCGGAAGTGCTCCTTGATTTCTGGGGCCCAGGGCAGGAAGTGCATCCCGCGAACTCTGGAGAAGCGGTCGCTCGAGCCCCTCTCGTCACGGCGCTCCTTGCCATTCGGGGACAGGAGAGACGAGACCAGCATGACCCCCCCCCCCGCGCTTCCACGACGTCGTCGTAGGTCAGATCGTTGAAGTAATTCGGGTCGCTATCGAGGATCCGGGCAAGCTGCGGCGGGGGCAAATCGGGCAAGATCTTGTTGACCACCGCGATGAAGTGGCCCACGAGGAAGCGCATCATGCCCGCTGTTGAGTCTAGTTTCTGCGCCTGGTCATAAACGTCTTCGATGTGCATCATGACTGCCCCGCGCAAGTGCGGGCTCCTGACGCGGAACCTGTTTTGGCTGTTACCGGGGTGATTCTTGTAGAGGTCGTGGTCGTGGATTTGGTCGAGGTCATCAATGCCGCCGCCAGCCCCACTGTCGAACGTCTGGGGCAGCCGCGTCTTCCCCTCGTGCAGCGCCAGGAACGCGGTATCCTCTTGCGCCTGCATGAACCCTCCAAGGCCAATGAAGATACCCTTGTTGAAAATGGAATCCTTCTCTGGCTTCTTTTCTGGTTTGGGTTCGGTCTCCGGGTCTCGCTCATGCCTCTCGACAGCGGCATCGTACCTCCGCTTGGCGCGGGCCTCCCTCCCCTGGTCGTAGTAGGACAGGATCTGAACGTCGAGCCACAAGGCAATGGACTTGCCATCTCCCGACTCGCCGTGCTGCAGCATGAGCAGGTTGCAGTGGCGCGCAAGGATCCCGCCGCACTTGAGCTGGGCGGCGCCCAACGTCGTCGCAATGAGGAGCAGGATGTGGACGTGCACGCAGGAGGGGCGCAGCGACGTCGCCTTCCCCAGCGCAGTCGCGATGGCCCACATCAGCGGCGACGCGCGCCGCGCGACCTCCTCGGGAAATGGGTTTTGACTCTCCATTAGGCGATAGGCTGCTCGGGATTCCCCCTAGGTGAGCGCGGGGGGTAGCGCGCCCTCCGCGGGGCGGGCCATTCGACGGGCGCCCTTCCCCGCCCTGGCGACGCCCGCAATGCGGAAACACAGCGCGAACATTAATGCGCTGGCAGGCGGCTTGGCGGCCAGCAGCGCGGGCTTAGCAGGCGCGGGCGGGCGGCGCGGCCAGAGGGCGGCGCGCCGCGCAGACTCGGTCGATGAGGTCTGCGGCGGCGAGAGAGCTTGCCGCGGGCGGGCTCGGAGGGGGCCCCGCGGGGGGCGCGGATGCTTCGTGGGGCCAGTTCGCCGAATCGAATAGACGAAATGCCCAGTGGCGCCGCTCCTGGGCCTCGTCAAGAGCCGCCAGATTTTCCTTCGGGCGGCCACATGCATCGCTGGGACGGCGCGCCCTTGCGCACGCGGCCGCGGGGGGCGACAGGCGGGCCTGCTGGCTCGGCGGGGGAGAACGATTTGGATTCGGCGATGCATCGACGATGAGTCGGCATGGGCCGCGCGGGGCCCGGGCCCCGATCGGCGACGCAATGGCGACGTGAGGTCGATCTTCCCCGCCTGCGCAAGCCCCGCCAATCAACCCCCTTGGCGTCGCTCGGGCCCGCCGCGGCTTCGCGCGGGGGCGGGGCCAAGGCGGGCGCGCTATCGAGGTCGCCTTTGCGGCCTCGGCTGCCCTGGCCCAAATCGCTCCGCTCAAGCCGCCGGGCGCGTGCGCGGGGCCGGCAGGTCAGGGTCGTGCTCCAGGGCCCCGGCGGCGAAACGGCGGCGCTTGCTCGCCGCCGCGCGCTGCAGCCACTCGTCATGGACATCGAACAGAATCCGCAAGCCCCGATGGGGGCACCCGTCGGAGCAGCAGGGCGCGGCGCGCGGGAGGGGGGTGCCCCGAAGTTTTCGACCCGGGAGCCCCCAACCTGCCTCGCCCCACCCCCCAGCAAAGAGCGCTCGCGGGCCCCGCGAGCGTGAAGGGCTCAGTCGGGAATGGCGAATCAGCCATGATATCCAGCAGTGGAGCTGGAAGTGGACTCTCGTCATCTCGAGGCACATGCGCGTCCGGGGGCTGATCCACGCACTGAACTGCTCGCAAGCCTCCGTGTTCTTCAACGCCAAAAACTTCACGTTCGCCGGCTGCAGCGGGTCAACTTCCCGGAGCGCATTCAGACACCACGCGTGGTTGTCCCTGTGGAAACCGTCCAGGATAATGCGCACTTCCTCAGCCAGCGATTTCGTCCACGGCAGAAAACCATCTTTCTTGACGCGTGCCATGGAGAGCAACTCGCAGGCGTTGACGTAGCCGAGCCACCCGATATATGACGCGGCCGAGGTCCCAGGCGCCCTCTCGAGCGATCGAGAGGCCCACGAAGGCGAGCGGGGGCTCCGCAGGGGGGGAACAGGCAAGCTTGGACAGCGCAGCGCAGCTGCACTCGCGAGTCGCGCGGCGGGGGCCGCCCGGAGCTCTTCGGCGCTGTGTTGTCCCGCTCCTACCCCTTCTCCCCCTCCTGGGGATCCGCCCATCTTCGCGGGGCGCCAGATCGAGCAAAGTGCCCCGCAGCGACGAGGGTACTTGTGGAGCCGCAAGGCGAAGGCGTACACGACCTCGATGGATTCGCCGCGGGTCAGCTCCATCCAATCCATGAGCCAGCCGCAAGACGCGACGGCCGTCATAATACCGCCAGTGCATCTCCGGACTTTGTCGGAGCCCTGGAGCTCGTCGACGCCGCAGGCCAGGATCGACTGCTTCTGTTCCTTCTCCAGCGCAAGCCAGCCGCGGCAAAGCTGGCGCTTCGCACCTGCAGCGTCGCCGCCGCCGCCGCGCGTGGGGCGACTCGGCGGCTGTGGCGCAGAGGAGCGGGCGGCCGTGAAATCGGGGCGGCCAGCTCGCTTCGGCGCGGGCGCCTTCCGCTTCCTTGGCAGCCCTGCTGCCGCTGTTCGGCGGGAACGGGCCGTCGCTGCGGAAGTGCGACCGCGGCCGCGGCGCCCCCGGGCGCCGCCTCGCCCCCTGGCGGCCGCGCGGCCGCCCGCGCCTTGGCCGCGAGCAGCGGCGGCGGCACCGGGGCTGGCGCCCCCTCGGCACGATGGGTTCTGCGCCTTCGGCCAGCGCGTGACCTGTCGGTGGCCTTTGAGCCACGCAGGCCGCGCCTTCTTGCTCCCATGGTCTCCATTTGCTGGAAGCAGAGGCTTCTCGCAGGTTGCTAACAGCTCTTGTGATACTTCCGCCCTCGGCAGGAAGGCGTCGAAGGTCTCGCTCGGATTGTCTGGATCCGAGCAGCGCGCCAAGTATTTCAGGGCAGACACTTCGCCGTCAGGGGCGGTCGCGGGAGCGATGCCCCAAATCTGCGTCTGCGGGATGAGATTGTTCTGTCCAGCACGCGCCGTCTGACATTGAGCGCAGAAGAATCGCCCGGCAGGGGCATTCTTCAGACACCCCGCGTAGAGTTCCATCTGCAGCGCGCCCATGTTTTCGTAACCGTCCAGCCCGCCACATACGAATCGACGCGCACCGTAAGTCCCGCCCAGAAGGACAAGGAGATCGCCAGCACACTTCGGGCAAGCGCGGGCGTGCTCAACGGCGCGCTCGACGCGGGCATGGCGCACGGCTGGCGCGAGAGCGAGCAACGTCGACTCCAAGCCGCCCCTGGTGAAAGACCACGTGAGTTCGGATGCGGCGCCGCCGGCAAGGCGGGCAGCGTGGTGCGCGTACCAAGCGTCCTCCAAGCGAACGCCATTGGCTCGTAGAAGCGTCAAGTCTTCGCCAGGAACCAGCCCTCGCTGCGCGAGCTCAGTGTGTTGCTCGCTCCATACCAGAACTGCGGAATTGAATGTCCCCCCACTGTGGTGTAGCTCGTCCTTGAGGAACTGCAATAGCTTCGCGTCGACGGCTCGCCATGCCTTCTCGCGCGGAACGAAGGAATGCTTGAGGGAGCTGGACCCCGAAACGAGCTTGATGTTGATCATCTTCCCGTAAGTCCCTCGCCCGCTACTTCTGTCGTGCTTCTCGCACTGCCACTGCCCGAGGAAATACAAGGCGCACTTGGGGTAGTATTCCTTCGAGAAGGAGGCGTTCTGGACCCCGGCGCCCACGGTGTAAACGCGGAACCGGGTTTCCAGAACCATCTTGCCGCCATTGCGCCGTTGAACATTGAAGGCCACCCGGCTGCTTGTCTTTAGGGCGCACTTCTGGGGGTCTGCAATGTGGCACCGGGGGCAACGACCGTGAGTGGAGCGCACCTCAACTGTGGGGGCCGAAGGCACAAGCCTCTGCAGTTCTTTGAGGTGCGGATTGTTGATATCAAAACCAACGCCCTTGCCGATGTTAAGATAGTGAGCGAGCTTCCAAATGACATTCGTCACGGCGTTGTCGGGCAACTCGACCCCGTGGTTCCCGCTCCGCGAGCAGCCGGACGAAAGGCGCTGCCAAGGCCGAGGGGGCCGCGGAAAGCACTCGCGCCACATCGCCGAAGGCCGCTGGTGGAAGGGGGGCGAGCACTGTGGCCAGTGAAAAATCGCGCCCCAACGGAGCGCCTGCCGCCATCTGGCTCAAGAGAGCCTGGGCGCTTGAGCCGACGGCGGCGATGACCAGGGCGACGAAGGTGGAGACGACGCCCCTGGCGCGGGCGAAGGGCGACGCGGGGGGCCCTGGTCTAGTTCGAAGCTTCCCAACTCAGACACCCGCGAGGCTTCTCAGCCCAGAAATCCACGGCCTTGTCACACAAGACACCCCCTTCAACCTCGAGCGCCCTCCCAGGCACCCCCCCTAGTCCGTTGTCGCGCACGTCGTCTGTCGTCGCGTCCGCTGTGGTCGTCGTCGTCGTCGCGCCCGTCGTCGTCGTCGTCGTGGTCGTCGTGGTCGTGGTCGTGGTCGTCGTCGTCGTCGTCGTCGTCGGTCGTCCGTGGTCTGTCGTCCGTCATCGCGTCCGTCGCCCCTAGTCGTAAAACCACATCCTGTTCCTTTTCCCCCTCCTTCCCCGTCGTCGCCGGGCCTTCAAAGGGGGATCCATTTTGTGGATCCCCCCCGAATCGGCTGGCGGAGCCCTGGTCGAGCCCGTCGTCGTCGTCGTCGTCGTGTCGTCGCGTCGTCGTCGTGGTCGTCGTGGTGGTCGTCGTCGTCGTCCGTCGTCCACCGTCGTCATCCGTCGTCGCCCGTCGTCCGTCGTCCTTGGTCTGTTGTCCGTCATCGCGCCCGTCGTCCCTATAATCGCAAAGCCACATCCTTCCCTCCCCGTCGTCGCCGGGCCTTCAAAGGGGGATCCATTTTGTGGATCCACCCCGAGGTCGGCTGGCGGGCGCCCTGTGGATTGCGGCGTCGCCGGCTCGGGGCCGGCTAATAAGCCGACCGAGGGTCGGCGAGAAGTTTTTTTCAGGGCCGGCAAGAAGCTGGCTGAGGGCTGGCTCATGGGCCAGCTCGATCGCTGGCTAGAGGCTGGCTTCAGGCCTGGCGGCCAGGCAGAGGCCAGCAAGGCCGGCTATCCGGCCGAGAGCCGGCGAAAAGGGGCAGCCTACGATTTGGACGCCCGAAATGGGCACGGAAATGGGCACAACGCCCAACAACGCATGTTGTCCCAAACCAACAGCGGCCGCTGTTGGGCCTTCTGTCTCGAATGGACACAGTCCGCGGCGGCGCGGACAGCGAATCCTGTTCAAAATGAACAGGAACTGCTGTTGGGCATTGACCCATTCTTTCCGCGCCCATTTCGGGCGCCCAGATAAGAGCGGGGCTGGCTAGAAGCCAGCTAAGGGCTTCCTATAGGGCCAAGTAGAAGCCGGCTGGGGGCCAGCTCAAGGCCGGCGAAGGGCGCGCCAGGGGCAAGGCCGGGAGGCCAGGCCGGCGAAAGGCCAGCCACAGGCCAGCTTGTGGCCGGCCGAAGGCCGGCTGAAGGCCAGCTGGAAGCCGGCTGCAGGCTCCGCCCGGCCGAAGGCAGGCTGGAAGCCGGCCAGGGGTCGGCTTTAATTGGTGGGCTGGCTGAGGGCGGCGCGCGGGGGTCGCGGAGGTCGGCCCCTCGCTGGCCAGAGGGCGGCCGGGCTATGAAGCTGACCGAAGACTGACTGGGCTCCGCGCCGGGCACAGGCTGGATTGTCGGCCGGCGAAAAACGGGCCCCCGCGCGGGTCGGGGGCGGGCCGCGGGCCGGGGCGAATCCGGCGCGGAACCAGGCCGCGACAAGCCGCCACCCGGCCCGCGTGGAGCCGCGAACCAGCCCAGGGTCGGCGCGGGGAGTTGGGCGGCGTCCCAAGCGCAAGCTTGCGAATAAATCTTCCTGCCCTGCTGCCCCCGCCCAATTCCCGAGCGGCAGAGAGAAGCGTTTTTTGGCTTGCCGCTTCCCCCGCGCGCCCGCGGCCGGGCCACTGGCCGCCGCCCCAGCCCCCGCCCGGGGGGGCCCCGCCAATCAGGGGCTTTCCGCAAGTATTTGAAGAACTTCAGGGTGCCGGGGTTCGCCTCCCCCATGATCCAGCACGTGAACATCCTGTGGTGCCAGAGCTCGTGGTCGCGTTTCTTCGAAGTCTTGAGCTCGCTCTTCAAGTCCTGGACGGTGGTCTTCAAGTCCTGGGCGGCGGTCTGCAATTCGGCGTTCTGTTCGGTGAATTTTTGAAGTTGCCATTGTAGCTGGTTGGTGGCTCGGTTGTCTCTGTCGTACGGCAGGCGAGGGCCCTCTGCAGGTCCCTCTTGTCCTCGCTCAGGCGGCCCACTTTGGCGCCAAGGTTCCGAAGCCTACGGGCGGGCGAACGCATCCAATTGCCCGCCGCCGTTCCCTGCAGCTCGGTCCACGGCAAAGGCGCGGGGGCCCCCGCGGGACTGAGCAGCTGGAGCGAACGGGGCGGGAGTGGGTAAGCGCTGCCCCGCCCGGCCTCCCGTTCTCTTTGGCGTACTTGTTGCACTGCAGGGTTTTCGCCCTCAGCTGTTCGGTCAAGGCCGACATTTTCTGGGCGCGTTCGCTCTTGACTTGGATCCGGGTTTTTTACCTAACAGCGAAGACTGATAGGTTTCTAATAGGGTCAAAAGAGAATATCATGACGCCCCAGGGGGTCTGGGCGGGATCGGGGGAATGCCGGGATTTTTCCAGCCAGCAGTTGCACACTTCGTGGTTTTGAAGGTCCCAGAACTCCATTCCCGGGCCGCATTCTGAATGCCCGGAGCCAACTGTAAGCCACTTCGTGCTCTTCGAGTTCCCAGAACTCCATTCCCGGGCCACATTTTGAATGCCCAGAGCCAGCTGTAGGCCACTTCGTGCTCTTCCACTTTCCAGAACTCCACTCCCGGGCCACATTTTGAATGCCCGGAGCCAACTGTCGGCCACTTCGTGGTCTTCGAGTTCCAAGAACTCCATTCCTGGGCATGATTCTGAATGCCCGGAGCCAACTGTAGGCCACTTCATGTGTTTCGAATTCCCAGAATCCCATTCCCGGACCACATGTTGAATGCTGAGGCAGGCTGATGCTGAGGCTGAGGCAGGCTGAGGCTGAGGCCGAGGCTGAAGGCAGACTGAGGCTGAGGCTGAAGCAGGCTGAGGCTGAGGCTGAGGCAGGCTGAGGCTGAGGCTGATCCTGAGGCAGGCTGAGGCTGAGGCTGAGGCTGATGCAGGCTGAGGCTCAGGAAGGCTGAGGCTGAGGCTGAAGGCAGACTGAGGCTGAGGCTGAGGCTGGCGCAGGCTGGGGCTGAGGCTGACGCAGGCTGATGTTGAGGCAGGCTGAGGCTGAGGCAGGCTGAGGCTGAGGCTGAGGCTGCTGAGGCTGAAGCAGGCTGAGGCTGAAACTGAGGCTGAAGCAGGCTGAGGCCGAGGCAGGCTGAGGCTGAGGCTGAGGCTGAGGCTGAGGCTGAGGCTGAGGCTGAGGCTGAGGCTGGCTGAGGCTGAGGCTGAGGCTGAGGCAGGCTGAGGCTGAGGCCGAGGTCGAAGGCAGATTGAGGCTGAGGCTGAAGCAGGCTGAGGCTGAGGCAGGCTGAGGCTGAGGCTGAGGCTGAGGCAGGCTGAGGCTGAGGCCGAGGCTGCAGGCAGAGGCTGAGGCCGATGCAGGCTGAGGCTGAGGCAGGCTGAGGCTGAGGCCGAGGCTGAAGGCAAACTGAGGCTGAGGCTGAAGCAGGCTGAGGCTGAGGCTGAGGCTGAGGCAGGCTGAGGCTGAGGCTGACGCACGCTGATGCTGAGGCAGGCTGAGGCTGAGGCAGGCTCAGGCTGAGGCTGAGGCTGAGGCAGGCTGAGGCTGAGGCTGAGGCAGAGGCAGGCTGACGCTGAGGCTGAGGCAGGCTGAGGCTGAGGTTCACGCAGGCTGAGGCTGAGGCAGGCGGAGGCTGAGGCCGAGGCTGAAGGCAAACTGATGCTGAGGCTGAAGCAGGCTGATGCTGAGACAGGCTGAGGCTGAGGCTGAGGCAGGCTGAGGCTGAAGCAGGCTGAGGCTGAGGGCGAGGCTGAAGGCAGACTGAGGCGCAGGCTGAAGCAGGCTGAGGCTGAGGCTGAGGCAGGCTGAGGCTGAGGCTGAGGCAATCTGGGGCTGAGACAGGCTGAGGCTGAGGCTGAGGCTGAGGCAGAGGCCGAGGCTGCAGGCAGACTGAGGCTGAGGCTGAAGCAGGCTGAGGCTGCTGAGGCTGAGGCAGGCTGAGGCTGAGGCTGAGGCTGAGGCTGAGGCTGAGGCAGGCTGGTGCTGAGGCAGGCTGAGGCTGAGGCTGAGGCTGATGCAGGCTGAGGCTGAGGCAGGCTGAGGCTGAGGCCGAGGCAGAAGGCTGACTGAGGCTGAGGCTGAGGCAGGCTGAGGCTGAGGCTGAGGCTGAGGCAGGCTGATGCTGAGGCAGGCTGAGGCTGAGGCTGAGGCTGATGCAGGGTGAGGCTGAGGCAGGCTTAGGCTGAGGCCGAGGCTGAAGGCAGACTGATGCAGAGGCTGAGGCAGGCTGAGGCTGAGGCAAAGGCAGGCTGAGGCTGAGGCAGGCTGAGGCTGAGGCTGAGGCAAGCTGACGCTGAGGCTGTGACTGCCGTTGCCACTGCGACTGTCATCGCGAATGCGACTACGACTGCGAGAACAGCAGAATTCTACAACTGGATTCCCATCTGAATCTCAAGGGGAATGCTTCCAGATATGTTCCTACACATCGCTGTGCGGTTGCTGTGCCGGGATAATTTGAGCAGGCCGACCACCCGAGCGCTCTGAGCGAACTTGCGTGCACGTTGTTCCCGTTTGCGCAACTTGTTTGCGATGACCTTATCCCTGTAGCGTTTGCTCTTCTTAGGAGGGTCCGTCATGGGCCAAGTGCGTGCCGAGGGATGATTGATCTCGGGAGGCTGCGGAAGGAGAGGGAGTGGAGGAAATGGGGGAGCAAGGCAGGATAGGGAGAAGAAGGAAGATAAGCAAGGGAAGAGTGGCAATGAATGGCAAGAGGGAGGAGGGATGACGGGGAGGGGGAAAATGACGGGGTAAATGAGCACGGGGGTGA